AATTTGCAATAATACCGTGCGTAAGAGGTAGTTTTTGAGCAAAATTTGGTTGAATTTTGCTAGTATTTGGGGCTGGATTTTGCTTGGGGATGTTGGGGTTGATGAAGAGATGGTGGTGGTGTTAAAATCCGGTGGCCTTGGTGCCGGAAATTGGGTTCCATGGATGTTGGCACCTATGTTGAAAATTTTGTTTATATTTGTGACTGATTTGTAATTTTTTAAAAATTGGGGGCTGTGGTTGCAATTAGTTTTTTGTTGTTTCCTTTCTTTTCTTTTGTTTTATTTGAATGAAGGATAAAATTGTCCAAAATTGGTGAAAATGACCTTCAGTGCCAAGAAAGGTGGAAATAGGGGCAAAATGCCAAAAAATGAAAGGTATAGACCTTTTTCACAATAGACACGAAAGGTAGAGACGTTTTGTGCCAATTACCCTTTTTTAAAATGTCCAATAGTTCGTTGCTATGTGGCATAGTATAAAATTTGTTGTACACCATGATGTACACTAAACATGATTGTAGTTATAATCAGTTGGCTACAGTTTTGTTTTTATTTTTTTAATGAATTGTTTTACTAGCAATTTGATCTCATCGATAAGGACGATGCTACACTTACTGATTCATAGAATTTTTTTACAGGTAACAATTGGCAAAAATTCATTGGAAGTTGGAGGGAAAAAACAGATCCTATTACTAATCATAAAAGATGCTCTCAATGGGGGTCCACTTGGAAGCCCCATGTTTATACACGTGGCATTGGGTCAACAGAAACAAGAAGTCACAGGAGTCAACATCCGAGAGTGTTGCATTGAATGCTGAGGTCGTCTAGAAATAGCCAAAGTGGTTCTAGCCTTGTGCGTCTATCTTAGGTAGGTTTACTTCTTTCTGTCGAACTCTATAGCTTTCAAAGTCCTTGACGATCAGAAGAGGGTCTGATAAGCGTATCTCTGGAGTTGATTGATGTGATGTTCCTATTTAATAAGTGTTAGGGATGTCAGCTTAGAGTTGTAGGGTAGCTAACTTCTTATCAAATGTCTGTCAATGTAATTAATGTGAGGTAGGATTGATATGACGTCAAGGTCTAGTAGATCAGACCATGTGGGTCGGATCCAACGATGACCACTTCAACCTAATCGCTATAAAGAGCCAATTCTTGTATCATTTTAGGGAATGGATCTCTAAATAAAAAAGAGAATTTAATATATTTTTACATCGTCTTTGTCTTCTTCTCCCACAAATATACGCATCTATAGTAGATATATTGTAAAATACATACACGCGTACATTATTTTTCGAACGACACTTGTTGGCCATTTTTAGAGGTCAACAAATCCAATCAAGTGTTGCTAATTGTAAAAATTCAGTAAACTAAAAGCCTATACATATGGCCTTTTCCCATCGACAATTCTGTGTAGGTCCATCTTCATATGAAAATTGTATTTTGTATAATACTAGAAGGTCATCTGGTTTTTGATATAAAACAAATTGAATTTTCGATTGTTGGAGCCCAACGAAGCCTACATTTGGGAATAGTTTATAAATGATTTAGTAATTAAAATTTAGAAATGACTGGTGGATAAATATGTAATACTTGTTAATCTACTGAAATGTATGGTTGAAAATAAAATTTCATCATTTATTCATAAATAATTTATAAATTTGCCAAAAGGATATAAATTTTTTCACTTCAATATTCAAGAAATAGAGTAATACCATCATTCAAGCATTCGCATATCTTTTACCGTTTGAGATAATTATTCAAAATTTTTGGCAGAATTAACGTCCACCTTTAATGATATCATGCTAAACTTCATTTTATTATCTAAGTAAATCCATACACCTTGAAAAATATCATATTAATACTCTAAATGAGTAAAAAATTAAAGTAGTTAATAAAATTTATGGATCATTATGTTTGTTGGAGAGGGACCGGTCCAGTGAATTAAAATAATTGAATATGCGGACAAATTCACAAGTATGGGACAATTCGATTTTCAGATTTTGAGTTCCAAAATTCAAAACTCCAATATTAATTAATTAAATATTATTTTATTAATTAAATATATTAATGTCACAATTATACAATTAATGGTCACATGTGTGTACTTATATGCGACAATGTCATATATTATCAAATTAATTGGTTACAAATTATTTCGTTGGTCACAAATCAAAAATTTTATAGATTACAATTTATTTGTTGATCACAGATTTTCAAATTAATTAGCCACAAATTATTGAATCTTTATGTCATTATTAAATAGTTGGTCACATACTACTACTACCACCACCACCAACACTACCGCCATTGCCACCACATCACCACTAGATCTAATCCATTGCCAACAAAAACCACCACAACCATCACTATCAGATCTCCAGCCATCTCCACCACCAACAACAACCACCACAACCACAAACAACCTAACAACCAAGCAAATCACCAACGATCAAAACAATCAAAAAATTGCCAAAAAATCTACAGCAGCCCTCACAGCTTCACAATCTCTGACAGTGGGGGAGCACCTCTGTGAGGTGGTGCTCAATGTGATGCTACAGTAGTGAGAGTGAGAAGAGAAAACGTGTGTGGCAATGATTTTCAATAATGGTGCATCGTCGCTGTAAGTTGGTTCTTAGCGCGATGCTCTAGAGTAAAAGAGAGTGAGAAGAGAAAGTATGTGTGAGACAACAGTCTCTAATAGTAGGTGTGTTGTCGTCGTGTCTGTGACAAGGGTCCCCCAACAGTGGGTGTGTTGCCTTCATCGAATCAAGGGGGTGTTGATGGATGGAGAGGGTGAGACAATAAAAGATGGAGAGCAAGAATAGAATGAAATGATTTTTGGAGTTTGGAATTGAATTTGGTTTGAGACATTTAATATTTAACTATTATACTAACACCTGATATATGAACAAATAAACTGTATAATTGATTTATGAATTGTAATTTTTAAACACCGCAGGTATGTAATTTCCACTTGAATATGCGTAGAAGCCAGGGCTGGGGCCGGGGCATCCTTTCTTGTGGATTGTAGTACATAAATTGTCACCTAAATTAATAATCAACCAGCTTGGAAAATTCAAGTTATGCTCCCTAATTTTTATTTCAATTGAATTGACATTTTAATATTAAGCGTCAGTCTGCTCCAGTTTTTTCGTCCAAATAAAATAAAATAAATAAATAAAAAACGAAAATCAATTTTTTGACCCTTTTTTTTTATCAAATGGGACCCACATGTGAGAGAATTGGTCAAAAAAATCCAACTGCCAATTGTAATAAAAATCCTTTTTTTGCCCCAAAAATCGATACAAGACACAATCTAGTGCTTGTTTGGTAGAAATTTTGATAATTGATTTTTTTACCGTTAGAGATAAAATTGATTCTATCTGTGAGATAAGAATTCAAAAATGACGATTGAAATAGTAAAATAACAGTCAAAAAATTGATTTTAATTAATTTTTAAACTGTACCAAACAAGCTCCTAAGTTTAAATTATTTTGATCAATGAATTCTTAAATTTGTAATTTTTGTTGTGTTGTAAAAAGAAATGTTAGTAGCTCGACTTGTTGCAAAATTTCATGTTGTTCGTGAACCTTATTTATTTTTTTATCTTTTTGACATAGAATACTAGAATAGTCATCAAAATGCAATTTTTGTTAAAAAAAGCTGGTTGTACGGGAAAAAATTTACAAAAGCTTTACAAATGTGTCACAAGATGGTGAATTAAAATATTGCAAAAAATAATCCACCCATCCCGCCATATATGTATTCTGTAACGGTTCTGTACAAAAAATTTCTGCACATCAAGCTTGGCTGATTTTTGTTTCAATCTGATCACTCGTTCAAGCGAAAAATGCGTGATAGGGAAGATGTCCACGCTGATGCCTCCTAGGATTCCCTTTCCAAGTCATTCGTCAATGTCACAACAGTGCTATTATCTTATTATTGTTGCGTATTGTTTTATCCAACTGCAATAATAAGAACTTCCAAGCCACATATCAAAATTCTTGTTGAAAAATCACAATATCACTCTTAAGTCCATAAATTGGATCACTCAAATAATAAAGATCGATGTTATAAAAGATCTAGACTTCCATCACCAAACAAATTTCACTCAAGATTTTTAAAACCCGATTCAATAATCTTCATTTTGTATACGAGAAAGAAAATTACGTATTTGGGTCCATATTTAAAACTATGGCCCCAATTTTTTAAAATTCATTTTTATCAAACTAATTTTTAACTACATATTTTATGAAATCCACAGTGTTTTTCATTAATTTTTATCATAACCTACTCGAGGATAAATACTGTTGATTGAAAATGAGCATTCACAAGGAAAGCGAACAGGTGTCAGAGGTCCACAAGAATTCTGAATCCTTGCAGTTGAAAGAAACCTATTGCACATGTTTATAATTCACTTAATTTGGCTACAATTATTGAAAGAGTTGTTCAATAATTACCTATATTCAACATCAAATTAAATTAAGGACGTTAAGCCACATGCAAGTTCATGTATGCAAGTACAGTAACATCATGTTCATCGCACTCGACAAGACCGAATTTAACAAGATTAAACAAGACAGACATGTAATATGTCTAAAACGTCATATTCAAATTCAATCCTAACCAGTCCATTGATAAAATATACCCCAAAGCATGTTGGGTATGTAAGAAGATATCATTTACTTCAATTTGAGGGTAAGCCTTTCTCGTAAGGGATTATTTAGCATTTCTTTGTCCACCATTTCACCGCATTATTTTTTCAACAGTACTCATTTTCAATTACACATTCTTCATTAAAATATTATTACACATAAATAAAAAACTTTTATTTCTTTTTTAACTACACATTTCAACATCGGTCATTATTTCATAATACACTTTTTGAAATTAAAGAGGCACAAACGGGGCCTTAATGTAATGCCTACCAAGTTCTGTTAACAATTAGAGAGAGAGAGAGAGAGAGAGAGGGAAAAAAAAAATGCCGAAACATTCTCAGCAGGTTTGCAGAAATTAAGGTTATCATTTTTCAGAAGCAGGGTGCACTGCTTACCAAACTGACTGAATCTTGATTGTATTACAATCTAAAAGATCATGTTCACAACCTAAAAACTGCATCATAGATAGATGTTTAACCGATAACAAAAGTTTAACTGTTCAACTACAAAACATAAATATAGATTCACTAATGACAAAGTGCTGCGGAGAATATAATACAGCAAACCACAGTGACTCAAATCAGCCAAAATGGAGTCGATGGTGGATGTGTCTTTATACAATTGAAGTCTGGATGTTCATCAAGGTTCAACTCTCTTAAATTGTAATATTCTACCAAATAATAAGAAATCTGAAACAGTCTGCTTGAGAATAATTAAAAGAGTGAAAAACACACCTTGGAGCAAAAAATGGCATGCTAATCAGCTCCCAATGAGGTGAAGTCTTTTTGCACAATCTGTCAATCGAAAAAGTGTTCATCAATGTAGTTGGATTAACAGCATCAGCATAGAGATTACAACTGAACATTCTTTCTACCATAAAACAGGAATCGCATAATGATGCAGTCATCGTGTAAAGGGGGTTCTGCTGCTGGATTGGGTGTTAGTTACAAAGGACTGTTGGAGATCACAGCAACGTAAAGACTAAATGCATGTCTAATACACACGATTGGACATGAAATTATACTAAAACAAGTTTTTAACTGCTCTTTATTTCTTAATACAGTTCAATACCGTCCAATCCTCCTGCCAAACACAAAATAAAAGTTCTCATTTCCTAGACATGAGGCCAGAAGCCAAAAGCAACAGCCTCGTTAATGTCACCTGTCATTTGACCATAAAGCCCACATATATACGAGTAGAATAAGTAAACATGCTGTCAAGATTGAAAAATCAAATTTACGAAAACTCAAGAAAAAATAAGCATAAGACGGCATAAAAATGCAAATTTATCCATTCAAGAATATTCATAGTGCAGACTCCACTGGATACCGATCCAACCAATAATAATTATACCTGAGAAACATATTCTTTTATTCTATCACCAAGTGCTCCATCTAGAGCTCTCTCAGCAAGCTCATAATATAAAGTACTGCCTTCAGGGCCATTAACTTTTTCTTTCTGCAAATATCTATAACACAATACAAAGCCAAAGGTCAGGGTATAACATCAAATCAAATCTAGTGATCATTTTGATCAAGCAAAGCATGGACTGGAAATCTCAACATGGGCAACTCTAACCTTTGTTGGACAAGCCCTTCTAAAGCCAGTTTGACGTTTCCAAGGATTGGATGGCTTTCCTCATTTTCATACAATCCTAACCGCCTCAAATGATGCCAAAGACTTTCTGCACAAATTGTAGACCACGAGAGAACACAGAGATGCCAGGTAAGATTATAAAACTAAAAAAAACAGTTGAAAAGAAAAGAAAAAACTCCTCAAGTTTAAGCTAACTACGTAAGAATAAGAATTACAGGAAGAGGAAAAGTGAAAATGCTACCTTCTGCAATTTTTCCTCCGGCCACATGAATAATACTAATGACAACAAAAGTAAAACCAGTTACTTGTGATTTATTTGCATCCTCAACATATTTTCTGTAGGCATCAGCAGGGAGTTGACTTATTATTATATATGATTTTGCATCAGCAACGGCTGTCCATCAAGAAAACAAATTGAAACCATTGATATGGGCAATTATAAAGCTGCTCATGCCAATTTATCTAGACAACACATCACAGTCGCATATATTTTCCCTGGATTAAATAGTGGCATTAAAGAAGGTGACATGTCATGAACAATGCACAGCATACAACCGGATAAATGAAACAACCCAACAACTGGAAGTATGTAATTGCTTAAGCATTTTTATGCCTCATGTATACCTCAAGATGAACCTCTGCCCACTTTTCCCATCTTCAGCAAATTGAAAGGAATGTCAAAAAGTATTAGAATTATTTAGCTCCATTTTGTACTGACACGAGAGAATAGGAAAAAAAAATAATGCAAAGCGGGAAAATTTCAACTTTCCTCCCATTTCTTCAAATAACATCAATAATATATGAGACTTTCGAATTCTCTACCATTAAGCTCCCGTTTGTTTCGGATTTTTCAAGCCAAAAAATCAATTTTTGATCGTTACCTGACATACTATCATTTTTTACCTCTTCACTCATAAATGGGATCCACTTTTCTCTCTAGCGGTCAAAAAATTGATTCTCATAATCAACACCAAACAAGCTCTAAGCTAAAAAAAATTGCAAAGCTCAGGGAAATTTTCAATTTTTTCTCCCATTTCTTCAAATAACATCAACAATGCGTGAGAACTTTGGAAATACTCTACAATCAAGTGAGGGTTTCACAAACCTTCTAATTTTCTTTCTTCTGCCCTTCTCTAAACCTGATTCAAGATCCGTGCAACCTTAAAATGGTGAACTACTTAGACATCCATATGTACGAAAAAGTCAAAAACTTCCAACCAACTTCCCATAACAACTGAGCAAAATAATTCAAAGTTTCTACAGTTCATATTTTGAAAATCAACATAAAACGTCAAAATAAAAAAAAATAAAAAATCATCTTCTCCTCATTTCCCTGCTCTATTCCTGTTCTCCTCACTATTTCGAAGATTCAAACAAATCTTAATCAAATGACAGGAAAACCGTAAATTCAAATGCATTTGGATAGCAAAATTGTGTTACATTCCAGAACCACTTCGTAAAATGCTTACATTGTTGAGATTGGAATGCACGGCTATGGTGAGATGAAGTGGAGAACCGGGACCGTTGGAGTTCCCTCATTTCGTACCCAAAAATCGAGGAGAGTTTAGTCTTCGCTTCATTGATCACAAAAGCTGGCAGATTTCTCTGTCTATAATTTTTACCAGTAATCAACTGAGTCAATTCCTCCCTTTTAATTGGGCACCCTGAATTTTGCTCCGTCTTGAATAGTATGTAGCGGATGACTTCCCCAACTAGTTTGTCCTTTTCCTGCACCACGAATATAAACACAGATACACACACAAATTCGCGTGTAACGAAATTCTTGTACAAGAATAAGAAATACAACTAACCTGTTCTGAAATGTCGAATTGAGAGAAGTCTTCAGGAGTGCTGGACATTCTGTAGAATGAAGACAACTCAGAACCCTAATTTCCCCCCAATTGTTTTGAGAAGGAAGGGTGTTATTGATATTATACACTTTAAATTTTAACTATTTTGGCTATAAGAGGGTGTTTGGGAGATATTTTTATGTAAAAATGTAATTTTGAATAGTAAATTGATGGGAAATGTATGGTTAAAAAATAATGAAAAGTTTTTTATTTACGTGTAATATTATTTTAATAAAAAATGTGTGGTTGAAAAGAATAGAGAGAAAAATGTATTTTGAAAAAAAAGGTACCGAATAGGGTCTAAATGGTATTGTTTTTTGAATATTAAATATTTAACTCTTGTTTGAACCACATTATTGGAATGAAAATACATTTTTGAACAGTATATTGATGGAAAATGTGTGGTTAAAAGATAAGGAAATGTTTTGAATTTGCGTGTAATATTATTTTATTAAAAAATGTGTGGTTGAAATGATATCAAATCACTATTAAAGGATGTATTTTTTTCAAATAATGTGGCTCAAACAAGGCCTAAAGATAAATTATATATAATATTTCATTTAACAAAATAATTATTTATATATTTAAAAAAATATCATAACCTTTACTTGTGCAATACCTTATTGTAGGATTGAACATGGTTCTAAGAGGACCAAACCAAATCATGAATGATTTTTTTGATAATGCAACCAAAGGTTTTTCTTCCCCTCCCCCCTTCAAATATGAAACCAAATTGAAATTGAACCATTTGGATCTGGTTCGGTTCTAAATACATTATCGGTTGAGATAAAAATAGAAAAATGTTTGAGGAAAAATTGAAAAAGAAACGAAGGTTGAGGCTTCAATTTTAGAAATTCATGGGCGATGGTGATTGGCGCGACGATAGACAACATGTGACAATTGGTATCAATGTGAGAGTCGGTGTATAAATTGAAAAGGAGAGAAAATGGAAGACAAATTATAGTCGGAGTTTCCAAAATGAAATAGGGTTCCTATTCTCCATAATAAGAAATGAGAAATTGAAGATAACATGACATTTTTGTTCTGATTTTCAATTGAATTTTGAATTTTGTGGCTGTGAATTGTGATTCACTAATTTGTAACATATACACGCGCGTGTATGTGAAAAAGCAATAAAATTTAAAAATTGAGTTTGGTTCTTGATTTTAGAAATATAATTGAACTAGAACCAAAATCAAATGGTTCTTAGTTTTAAGAACCCAAATCATTAAATTTTTTTTTTGGGTAAAATCAAACCGAACCGATCAGTTTGGTTTGGTTCTAATTTCGTTTGATTTGGTTTGGTAATTTTGTTCACCTTACCTTGTTGTGCATACCTTGAACTAGTGCAATACAAAAGGTTGAACGCAAAGGGCAAAAAGTAATTGTGAACAAAATCGATTATAGTTGCACAAGTATGATGATAATGTTGTCTCTTCTTGACAATAGCAAGCTCCACTAGTGTTGCCACTGCTTCTGAAGCACTATTTTGCTGTGAAAATCAATTTATGATCAAGAAGACATTTTACTACAACTTCACATGCAACTATATTCTACGCCACGTCGTAGATATATTTACTTTCGCAAGGAGAGTAACCTATCGCCCAAGAGATTACAAAACGTGATAAATAATGATCACTTGAAAGCAATTAATTTGTTAAGTTGTACGTGGTGTTGCTAAATTGAAGAATTTATGAGTTTTTTAACTCCCTCTCCCTATACATAGAGAACGATTTACTAAGTCCCTATTTTACAGCCATTAAATGAAAAAAAATCATGTTTTGAATAATGATTTTTAATAGAATGTGATAAAAATGATGAAAAAATAGTTCATTTACGTGTAAAATATTTTATTCGTTTATTTGTGGTTGAAAATGTGTGATGTAGGATGAATTGAAAAACAGCAAGAATGAGAAAAAAGGGATCACGTAAAGGGGAAAAAGGAAGAAGAAGGAGAGTAAGAGGGAAGGCAGGAGGAAGGTGCAACAATACAAATAATCTTCATTAATCCAAAACTGAATTTTCAATCCAAGATACAACCATATAAATGATAAAATAATAAACTTGGGTTTGGGCCAAACCCATATACAAGCCCAATAAAACTTAGACCTAAAATAAATAGAAGATAAAAATGGCCTGATAAGGATGATATCCTCATCAACTCTCCCGGGGTAGGAGAAAAACTCGACCCCGTCGAGTAGATAAATCACAAAATGTCGCCATCAATCTCCTAACCACAAACTAAGCGGTTGAACAAACTTCTTTCAACGTCTGTAGACATGTAAGGGTAGTGATCTGGTAAGGAAAGATCTTGTTAACTCCTATAATGATCCAACAAATCGGGGTCCAGCTATTGAAGTGTCTCCTTGGAGATCCAAGTACACTCAAAATCAGGATGGCCTTCCCAATGAATAAGGAAATGTTGAATGTCTTCATCCTTGGTTAATATGGTCTGTGCATCTAGAATAGATTCAATTTTATCTTTACGTGGTGCAACATGTGGAATCGGGGCAAGGATAACATGTTCAGGATGAGGGTCCATAGATGGAGGTATGAAAGGATCATCGGCTGGGTGGAATTGGCCTTTGTAAGCAACTAAGTCCTCAACATTAAAGTTAAGGTGGTAGCAAAAATGTGATGGTAAGTTAATGACATATGGATTTGGACCAACACGCTTAAATTTTTTTAAAAGGACCAGCACTACGAGCTTGTAATTTAGAGCCTGTTTGGGAGTGATTCTGATAATTGATTTTTTGATCATTAGGAGAAAATTGGGATCCACATGTGAGAGAAGAAGTCAAATATGACGGTTAGGATAGTAAAATAACAGTTAAAAAATCAATTTTTTGGAAAGGAAAAATCACTTCCAAACAGGCTGTTAGATGCAGGCCCAGATGGACGCCGTTCCGATCTAATTTAAATCATAACATAATCCCCAACATTAAATTCAACATGACGTTTGTGCAAATAAGCTCTAAGTTAATATAATGCATTACTTGCTTCAAGCTGTTTATTGATCTCAATATGCAAGTTATGTTGATGTTGTGCAAAAGACTCAGTTGACACAAACACACTAGGATGCAGAGATATGAGAATAAGGTCTAACAACTTCCTAGGTTTAAAAGCATGAACAACCTCAAAAGGACTTAGACCTATAAACCAATTCACTGAACTGTTATATGCAAGTTGGGCAGTAGAAAGAATTAAGTCACAATTCCTAAGATTTTCCTAGACTAGACACCTTAATAGATCACCAAGACTGCGGTTAACAACTTCAGTTTGACCATTCGTTTGTGGGTGGTATGCAGTAGAGAATTTCAGTTTAGTGCCAACCATACTCCATAGGGTTCGCCAAAAATGACTAGTGAAACGAACATCCCTATTCGAGACAATGGTCTTAGGGAGGCCATACAACTTGATAATCTCATGAAAGTATAACTTAGCAACCTTAAATGCATCGAAAGTTTTGCTATAGGGAATAAAGTGTGCCATTTTCAAGAAGCGGTCTACTTCAACGAAAATGGAATCGTGTTTCTTTGGAGTACGTGGAAACCCTAGCACGAAATCCATACTAACATCTTGCCAATGACAACTAGGGACGGGAAGAGGCGTGTAGAGACCCGTGTTCTGCCTTTTTTGCTTAGATCACTGACAGGTGTTACATGTGCCAACTATCTTGACCACGTCTGTCTTTAAACTGGGCTAATAGAATTGACATTCAATCTCCTCTATGGTCTTATCTTGCCCAAAATGTCCGGCCAACCCGCTAGCATGTCTTTCCCACACTATAAAGTCTGGCACTAAAGTCCTCGGGATGCTTAACTTATTAGATTTAAAAAGATAGCCCTTTTCCAAACGAAAACCATTAGTAGTGTCCAACTTCCCATTTTGCAAAGCAAGGAAAATATCTCTGAAATTGGGACATGACTCGTACTCTTCCTTAATTCTTTCAAACCCTATGACCTTAACACTCATGATGGATAACAAGGAGATGCGACGGCTTAAAGCATCAGCTGCTCGATTTTCAACACCTTTTTTATGTTTTAAAACAAAAGAATAGGCCTGCAAATATTCGATCCAGTGGCTATGCCTATAATTCAATCGTCTCTGGGAATTAAGGAAACAAAGGGCCTCATGGTCCAAAAAGAGGACAAATTCTTGGGGCAATAAATAATGATGCCAATAGCACAAGGCTTGTACAACTCCTTATCATAAGTAGAGTACCGTTGCTTAATATCATTTAATTTCTCACTAAAATAAGCAATAGGATGGCATTCTTGACTAAAGACTCCACCTATTCTTACCCCTAACATATCACATTCGACCTCAAAAACTTTGAAAAAATCTGGGAGTCATATGACAGGAGCCTCTGTCATTCATTTTTTGATTAGCTTAAACGCTTTAGCTACTTTCTATGTCCAATGAAATTATCCTATCTTCATACACTTTGTGATAGGGGTCATAATCGTACTAAACTCCTTGATGAAATGACGATAAAAGGTAGTTAAACCATGAAAACTCCTAATATCATGTATATTCTTGGGGTTAGGCCACTCAACAATTGCCCGAATCTTCGTAGGATCAGCAGATACTCCTGTAGCGACAACAATGAATCTGAGGAACACAATTCTATCAGTGAAGAAATAACATTTCTTCACATTGGCATACAAACTTGCTGCACACAGTGTAGAGCAAACTTGCGTGAGATGATCTCGATGTTGTTCCCTAGTTTTACTATAGATGAGAATGTCATCAAAGTACATTACAATGAATTTGCCCACGAAAGGCTGAAGGGCCTATGTCATCACCCTCATAAAAGTACTTGGAGCATTGGTTAGTCCAAAAGGCATGACCTACCACTTATATAGACCATCTTTCGTTTTAAATGCAGTTTTCACTCGTCTCCTGGGTAGATCCGAATATGATGATACAAATTCTTCATATCGATTTTGGAAAAGATTGTGGCACGTGCCATCATATCTAGCATAACATCAAGTCGAGGGATGGGAAAACGATACTTGACAATGATCTTATTGATAGCGCGACTATCAACCCACATCCT